ATCCGTGTAACGGGGATCAGGGCGATGCCAAATTAAAAAAAAAAACCAGCTTGGCTTCCCTGCTCTCTTTAGTGCATCATTGAACTATGTCAGTGATCTTTTTACATAGGTAGAGCAGCACACTTACAGAACTCCAGGATAGGCACATGTTAAAGTACGAGAGGCATGAAGATTATTACTTGGATCTTGTGCTTTGTGTATCTCTCCAGATATGTACAGTATACCAGCAGGAGCTTCATGTAATAGACTGGTCACTGCTGCTCTCTCTCTATATGCAGAGTGACTGGTCTTCTATCCGTTCTTCCCTAATTCGCAGTCAGCCTAGAGAGGAAGGGGGCCTTTTGGGTCCCTTCACTCAACTCTGCTCCCTGCACAGGCTATGCACAGCACAGTAATATCGCTGCTACTTTTAAAAGGTAATAACTTGATTTGAAAAGTCGTTTTGTGCACCCAGAGTGGATTTACTTCTCTTGTGGTTATTTGGAATAATAGTATTACATGAAAGTTTTTGTGCCCCGAGTTCAACTTTAATACAAAGTTAGGAATATAACAACTCTGTTCTTGCTCTCTAAATACAGATTAATATTTAAACCAGAGTTCCTGACCTGTAAAAAGCTTTTTTCTCTCTCTCTCTCTTTTATTGATACTTTACTCTTAACTAAATGACCTTGCTTAGGACATGAGTTTTACTCCTTAAGGCTAGGTTCACATCTCCGCGTTCCTGCGGGCCACGTTTTGCGTGGTTCAAGAGTCCATTCATTTGAATGGACTCCTGTCCCTTGGGACATGCAGGTAAGAAGTCCCTGCACTTCTTCGGAAAACGCAGCCCGAACGTGAACCTCGGTTCCCAGTACAGTTGCGATTTCCAGTGCAGGTGGCGTGGCATTAGAATGAATGGCAGCCGCCCACGGGTCCGCATTCTTTTGTGCGGGTGGTGCGGCTGCACGGATTTTTGTGCGGATCCACCCGCACAGATGTGAACCAGGGGTTAACATTACTATGGTATCAGGACTTCTAGATTACTTGGCCTGTTAGGTCACTGCAGCTGATCATTGATAGATCTGTGTGCCAGTTCAAGGGACATAACAGTCTTGTGTGGAACCAATCAAAGCTGAGATACACAGTAACTGGAAGCATATGAAATGCATTTATTAATGTGGGATTTGTTGGGAAATAACTGAAGTCTGAAAACAACTTGCAGACTTGAAAAACTTGTATTAAGTGCTGCAGAATAGTTATTATTTTTGCATACTTTGTGTTTGCCAAGATAGTGCCCTACATTGCCAGGCCTGAATGGGGTGGATACATTATTTACCACCTATGGAGCATTTTATCAGTTTGTACTGGGGAAGAGGATATGGAGGCAGCTATATCTGGATGATCTTTTGCTGTGAGCCTGCCTAATAAACTCCACTGGGTTGATTTACTAAAGGCAGATTTGTTGTTTGGTCTCAGTGAAGGGTGGAGGCAGTTTGGATAGACATGCTGGCAGTCTCTGGTCAGTGTTGAGGCCTGGTGGCCAGCCCTTTTGTGATTAGCTAGCAATTGGAAAGCACGGTATATTCAGCTGTATGGTGGAAGCTGGGTTTGCCCATTTGAGCCTGTAGCTGTTAATGAGCCCTATGTATTTTTTTTAGACTTCTAAAGACATTAGGAGTACACATTATTATCTTTTTGATCATCATCAGGAACATCCCAAGGAGTGCTTATGACCCTCACTTTATACAACTAAGCACTGTTTATTAAAGTCCAACCCTTTGATATACTTGCAGTCGATACTAGTAGTTCATCTAAAGCGTGGATCCTGAGGAAGCTAATGCAGCGAAATGTGTGGATCCTATACACTTATTGTGCATCTTACTGCTATATGAATGTAACCACATGCTAATGTCATCTTTAAAGACCATTTGGTTTCAAAATGTGAAGTGTGACTTTGTTTTTTTAATGATGAACCAATAAAAGTATATCTATTTTTTATTACTGTTGTTCAATATGATAGTACAGATTTATCCTCCCGGCAGCTGATACATACAAAGTCCCATTTTCACTGGAGGTAGAACAGGACCACCCGGTTTGACCGAATGCAACTGTACACTCTGGTTTTTTGTTTTCTGGTCTAGACATATGTTTGGATGGTGCCAGGCCGGTGGTACTTACCGTATATTAAATTCCAGACCCATCTTCCATCTTATAGATACAATAAAGGCAAATATACTGTGCACTGCAAGTGCACTTGCTCCAGAGCTTAGTGAATGAGGTAAAGCTTCACTTTGCAAAGAAAACCCAATCACATACAAGGAAAATTAAAAAACAAAAAAAACAAAGCATTTTTGCTTTCACTTGATTGGGTGATAGAAATCAGCAGAGCTTTACCTCAGATCTGGAGCAACTGCACTTGCAGTGCACAGTCTATTTGCCTTTAGTAAATCAACCCGCATGTAGTGCAAAGAGCTTCGGTACAGAGCCCATCCTGGTGCATTGAGCCACATGCTGCTGGCATGAAATGTGTGTTCTGACCTTTCTCACCCATTGGTAAGCTTTATATGTTCATGAGTTAATTTCCCAGCAGGACACCACCTACCTGGAAGGTGAATGCAGCATTTTCATCTATCAACCTGTAGGACTCCAATTTTCTTCTAGTTACTATAAATCAACCTCAGTGTGTATTTGATAGTGGGGGAGTGGGGACTCTGAATTAAATGAAGAGGTGGGGGAAGCGATGACTCTGATTAAAAAGCAGGAGGACTGAGGACAATAATTTGAAAGGATGGAGTGTGAGCAGAGGACTTTAATGTGAAAGGGGGAAGGGGTGAGTGGGGACTCCAATGTGAAAGGGGGGGGGCAGGTACTGAGGACTCTGTTGTAAAAGGGGGGATAGACTGAGGACTTTGATGTGACAGTTGAGGGGATTGAGCACTCTAATTTTAAAAGGGGGACTGAGCATTCTAATGTGCTTTGGGGGGGACGAGGAGTAAGGACTCTGATTTAAATGGGGAAGGGCAGTAATGACTGATTTAACAGGGGGAGGACTGTGATGTGAAGTGTGTGTGTGTGTGCGCGCGTGTGGGGGGGGGGTTGCTTTCTGAGGACTCCGATGTGAAAGGAGAGCTTTTGATTTGATGGGGACCCCATTTGTGACTGGAGTACCTCAAGATTTTGGATACTGTTATAGGGTGCCATGATTGAAAAGAGGTTCATATTCACTGGTTTACGCAGTTAAACGTTAGTACAGGTCTGCTTTTGTAAAAGGCATCCTAAGGTGCCTGCTCTTACTTTACGGTGTTCCCATGTCACCCAGTTTGGCACATAAAAGTCATTATTTAAGTAAGACTAAAGCTGGCCATAGAAGATTTTTTTTTCATTCTGCCAGTGGGCTATACCAAAAAAAACAGATTCCTCCATCCACTACATTTGTGTGAATCTACCCCACCGGGACATTGTATTCTGACAGCAGCACCCAGTACTGTCAGAATACATTGATCACCAGCTGCAGCCGCTGATCAGTGCAACAATCAACTTCTGTCAAACTTGGACAGCCACACACTGATGGAAATTCATCCAATCACTGCTGAACTGGCCAAATTGTGATCCATCTATGACCACCTTTAGAACATATTAGTGCTTTGGTCTTGGTGATAGCCACTAAGCACTGCATTATGGAAGCTTCTGTGTAATGTATTTCTCTGTTAGCTGCAATGTTAGGTGAAGAAAATGGTCATAGTGACAGTCAGTGGGTATTCCTGTATGGGATTACTGAGCAGGAAATGATCTGTGCTTGAAGATCTTGTTTCCCACAATGCTACCTATATTTTTAATGTGCTCTGAATGTTGTTAAAGTATATGTAAACTCTAACGATAATCTTCCTTTATTTATTCACTTTTGGTCTTTTAAATGTACCATTGTAACTCTAAGTATAGTCTTTTGTATGAGCCTACTGTTTGGTGTAACTTGTTTTTGTACATTTTAAAAAAATGTGCTCAGTACAAATTATCTGAATAAGTGCAGCTTTATGCAGCACAGGTGCAGCAGTGTATCCTCAGTTTTCATGCGGATTAGCTGCACTTTCCCATAGACTTCTATTATGTCTCGTGGTTTAGTTGCGCTTTCAGAAAGCTCACCAAAACCGTGGGACATAATAGAAGTCTATGGGAAAGTGCAGCTAACCCACATGAAAAAACAGTGCAGCAGATCACTGTAAATCCGCTCTTAAAAAAAAAAAAATTATTATTATTTTTAATAAATACCTGTTGATCATACTTGAAATACCATGTGCTTGTAACTTTTGTCTATTACCCTAAAATACCATTCGATTTCATCAACCCTGCTTAGCTCACTATTACAGACCCTGCCTATGTTATGAAGATGAGGAAAGGGTAAGTTTTTCTGTAGTCCTAATACACTTCCTATCCTAGGGTGATTCTTCATAGATACGATACAGTAAGTGAACGTTGTCACCATAGGACAGGAAGTGTGTTACTGGAAAGATTGGCAAGAATATAAAGGGAAAAAGAGCCTAAAAAAAACCAAATGCAGATACTAAGAACTAGTGAGCTTCAATCTATTACATTTGTGTTATTGGGGTTTAGAGAAGCTTTACAGATTTTTCTTTATAAACCAATTTTGAAAATTGTTGTAAGTAGAGGTTCTTGTGATTGTGTGGTTAATATTATGTGGGTGCAGCAGAAAACAGCACTAGTTACTGATGTACTAAGCCCTCTTACCTTGGATAGTTGAGATCCTGAGTTAATTTCCCACCAAGGGTGTCATGTTGAAATCTGTGGAAGTTCCTTCAGTGATTGCTGGTTTATCTGCCTTCTCCAAAAACATACTACCAGATTAATCATCTCCCACCCAAGCTAACATGTATGTGTGAATATGACTGTTCTGGGAACATTGGACTGAAAGTCAGAATCGGTGTGAATACTTCGATGTAGAGAACTTGATGGCTCTGTAGGAGAAAAATAATATCTGTTGCTTATTCACTGTTCTCCTTCCTTAGGATTCCAAGTGGGTGGAAGAGAAACAGCGGCTTCTGCGGAAAAATCAGGACTTGTTAGAAAAGGTATGATAATACAGGTCTACCTCTGCAGCTCACAAATTTTGTTGGTAATAAAAGTTAGATAATTTATTAGTGTGAGGAGGGAAGGGAGAAAATGTTCCTAGTCCACATAGTAAAGCATCATTGTGTACTCTCCTTATCCACGCTACTGAACATTAGTTCTCAGGTTAAGCTGTACAAATGCACGCCACAAACAAATTCTCCCACTCAACATCCTTTGATTGAAAAACTGAAGTAGCTGGGCACAAAATCGTTGACGAATATCAGCTGCATCCAATTGAATGTAGCCTCTGTTTAGGTATTCTGACAGCTGCTTGTACCAGCTGAGAAAATACAATACGTGCAGTTGGAAGATCTGTCCATCCACGTTGTATAGTGTTGATGGAGGAACCTGTCAGCAAGAAGAACTAAAAAGATCTGGTAGTGTATGCCCGGCTTTAGAAAGAAGCTCTTGTCTTAGAGCAAAGTGATGGAAAGTACTGCTTCTGTCGTAACCATTGTTCACCTTTTGATGTTTATAGATTAGTATTAGACATAAAAAGGGGGATCAGAGTTGGTTGCTATGCGCAACAAGAATAATTTAAGTTTTATTTTTCAAATGGTTTAATGTTGCCATCATTTAAAATAATAGCTTCTGTTTACTTAAGGTTTTATCACACAGTACATTTCAATTAATAGCATGTCTTTTTCTTCTATATGTATTATGTATGTAAAGGGTAACCATTTTCAGGGGGAAAACAATAGCAAATAAAAAAAATAAAACATTTACAATTGCTACACAAGCTATATTGTAATTGAATGTTATTAAAATTACAGTATCTTTCTTTTCATTCTGCAGTGCTGTACTTTTCTGTAAAATTCAATGCAATGTGGCAACCATGTACACCATTGGTGTACAGAACACCCCCAGGAATGTAATTTCCTGCTTGTGCAATTGGCTCACTGATTTTCCCAGAAGTCTTCACAAAGACAAAAGTCACAGTTTAGGAATCCGCTGCAACAAAAAATTAATTTTGGAGAGATACTGCCAAAGGGTTATTTACTTCTAAAAGGATGCAGAATCCTGCATTTCCTCAGAATTCTGTGAGTGCATCATTTGGTTAATAATGAAAAAGTCGCTCCCATTCAGATTCACTCTGTAGATAATAAATCGCTTTTTCTTCAGAGCAGAAGAAGAACTCTGCAAGATTGTTTGTTAAAAGTCCTGTAATGTACATCGATCACCCAGAGGGGATTGTTTATTTTCTCAACAAAAGAGGACTTTGGGATGAATTGGAACCTTAATTGTGAGCCAGGTCTTCTCGTCTAACATAAGTATCCGACCTCACAAATGCTCTTTTGGCTCAGTGGGCACATATTTTCCATTTGGTCACTGCAAAATATCTTGTAAAAGGCCTTTTTTTAGAAGAGAGGAGGCTGTTATAGCCACAAATGTAGCTGGTGGGGCATTGGGGATGGGGGTGTCAAATCCTTACTCAGGCTTATGGTGTCGAAATGAGATGCCAATTGTCCGCAGACAGATAGTATATATAATATTGCTATCTCATGACTAGTTCTATAATTCTAATATATTTATATCACTCATACACCAGGATGAAACTGGCTTAGGGGGTTATTTACTAAAACTGGAGAGTGAAAAATCTGGTGCAACTCTGCATAGAAACCAATCAGCTTCCAGGTTTTTTTGCCAAAGCTTAAAGCGGAGTTCCACTCACACTGTAAAAAAAATAAAAGTTTAGCAGCTACAAAAACTAGCTGCTGACTGTTAAAAAAAAAAAAAAAAAAAAAGCCACTTATCTATCCCGCGGTGTCCTCCCGGCAGCCCGTTTCACCAGGTGTCTGGTGTTCTAGGCTCTTCAGTGTGGGCACCCGGCTGTGACAGCTTGCGGCTTCACAGCCGGGTGCCCACTGCGCATGAGTGAGTAGCGCTGCGCTTCCCGAATGGCCCTGTAGTCTTCTGGGACCTGTCACATGTCCCAGAAGACTGCGGAAAGGGTGGGTAGGAGGACAACTTCCGCTTCCGATCGCCTAGGCAATCGCAGTGGTAGCGAGTATCTGTCAGTTTCGGGAGTGGGGGACCAGTCTTTAAAGCGGAACTGCCCTTTTGGGTGGAGCTCCGCTTTAAACTGAACAAGTTGAAATTAGAAGCTGCATCTGATTCTGGATGCTCCAGTTTGAGTAAATCTACCCCTTAGTCACATGGGTAATAATGGGCAGTAGTGATTGACACACATCATACAGTATCTGATCATGATCTTGTATGTACAGTTGAAGCTCACACAAAAGTGGGGCAAGGTTTAAATATGCATGGAGGCATATTTAAGACCCCTATAAAACACAAGACAAATTGTCATTGATTATAACAGAGCAGTACACATGACAGTTCATAGAGCAGAGCAGGCCAAATGCAGCCTGACTACTTTAGACATAAAATGTGGCACAAAGGTTGAACCAAGGCCTAGGATCACAGGAAAAGTCTAACATTTTGGCAGTGATAGTAACTGCTTGGAGACTGGGTTCACACTGATGCGGTGCGGATTTCGCAGCGTTTTCTGTGCGAATTCTGCACCGCATCAGAATCGCACCCCATTCATGCGAACCTCTGCGGGTGTGTTTTGTTAAGTTAACAACACCCCGAAATCGGTGTGTAAAACGGGGTGCAATGTGCATAATCGGATCGCATTGGTGTGAATACCCGATTCTAGTGCGGACCCAAAAAAGGGTCCTGCACCTTTTTGGTGCAGGTGCGGTGCGATTTGAGCTATACATAATGTATGGCTCCATTCGCACTGTACACAAATCACATGTGATTTGCACAGGAATGAGTTGCGGTTTCTGTGCGAATCACATGTGATGTACCACACCACATTAGTGTGAACCTAGCCGGAAACATACTTCTTTAAATTTGTTTTTTACGGAAGTGACTTTAACGTTATTCCATGAATAGGAAGCGGTTACACAGAGATTCTGAGATTGCTCTTATAATGTTGTGTTTGATTTGTTTCAGCTCTTTAAGTATGAATTGGAGGAGAGCCAGCTGAAAAATGAAATCCAGGATGCCAAAGACCAGAATGAACTGTTAGAGTTCCGGGTGTTAGAGTTGGAAGTAAGAGATTCCCTCTGTAAACTGTCACCAGGTGCAGAGATTGCATTTGAGTCCCGGATTAAATATATATAGTATACTTCACTTCCAGGAGATGTGACACGAGATGCCTTAATAAATTTCCCGGAATTTATGACTTGGCATGAAAAGTGATCAGTGTCTAACCCTTTATTGCACTTACCTGGATTAGGAAATGTTAACAATTTCTCCTTGTTTCCTCTGCCTTCCCATTTTCTGCATGTCTAACATACAATTGTAAACTGTGAATTTTGTTAATCTTGTCATTTTTAATGTTATGTTTTGTTGTGCATGGTTATCCCATTTTAAATGTTTGTTTGTTTTTTTTTTTTTTTTTGGAAAGAAAAATACTCATTATTTTCCGTTAATAAAAAGTATTTTGTATTTGAATATACTCACTCTTACTTATGCCATCATCATTCTTGCATGTTGTTGTTCACTTTTTATTTTTTGTAATCCTTTTTTTTTCTCCCATCACCCAGCATGAAACTTCTTTTCTTCACCTTGATTTTAGAACTGCAAAAAATATAGCTTTGTCTTTAAATATGACTATACAGATGGATTATTTTATTTAAAGTGTAGCTGTACACAAAACCAACTAAACTTGGCATCCACCCAGAGGATTGTGCATATGTGCACATCTTGTACGGTTTCAGTGCACTTCTTGGACCAGGGACCTGTTTTATGAAAATCTTGACTTTTTCATATTTGTCACTATAGGGTCTTACCATTCATCAGCGAGGCCATCAGTCAGACTGTGAGCTGTGGTGGGGACACGTACCATCTTCATTAGATAATGTAGATATTTGTAAAATAGAATAGATCCAGGATGCTGTGACGAGACCTCAAGGTACATGCAGGTATCAAGATCCTCTGGGTGTCTACTTTTTACTTTCCTGTACACAGTTTAGTTGTTTTTGAGTACAGATTCTGTTTAATAAGGCAAATGTATGGTGTACAGGATCCCCTTACATGAGCATACCTCTTTCAGTCTTCAGTATCATAGCATATGATTGGTTCCTCCACTATAGCATTGCCTTACTGCATAAATCTTTAATTTTCTGTAGGTTCACTCTTTACAGCTGACATTACCCTAGCTACAACACATGCCCTAGCTCTGAACAATTAAATGTGCTCATTCTTTTCTACACAGTACTGTATTTTTATAGTGCAAACAAGTAACTGGTTAATACAGCCAGCATAAAAAAAACACATAAAGGGGGCTGTACCTGCAAAACATGAAACACAACTTAAACCGGTACTTCAGAGGTACACTTTAGTTTGAACTGTCAGTGTGCTTCGCTAGCCCTTTGTGCCTGTTAATCAGCGGCCTCATTTCCTCCCCTTCTACAGTAATGATGCATAGTAACACACACAATTCTCCAGGCTTCTATGATGGAGAGTGATCTGGTTGTTTCTATGCTGAACTGATGCAGTGGGTGAACACATACTAGGAAAGATGTAGGGTTTGCTATCAACCTCACAGAGTAGGTGTTGCAGAAATCTTTTAGGTCATAAGTTATATTAAAGTTTGAAGAAGTGATTAATTCGGCCCTGTTTCTGTGGAGGTGCTTGAAAGGTGTTCCTCACATCTGTTGAACGCCCATCAGAAGCTGGGACTGTAAAGATGTATTGAGCCAAAATACAAAAAAAGCGACATGTTAAAAGCAATCGCTGAAAATTCCTGATGCAGTGGCCTTGCTTTTTGATGCTTTCTTGAGCAGGAGTGATGATCAGCCCCTAACTGTGCTTCCACCTTGATTCACATTGATACAGTGTGGAATTCGCAGCATTTTTTGTGCGAATTCCGCACCGCATCAGAATCGCACCACGTTGATGCGAACTGCTGTGGGTGTGTATGTTAAGTTAACAACACCCCGAAAGGGGTCCACAAAACGAGGTGCGATGTGCAGATTTGGATAGCATAGGTGTAAATACCCGATCCAATTCTAGTGTGGACCCAAAAAAGGGTCCTGCACCTTTTTGGTGTGGGTGCAGTGCAATTAGAGCCATACAAAATGTATGGCGCGGCACACACAAATCGCATGTAATTTGCTCAGGAATGCGGTGCGGTTCTTGTGTGAATCACATGTGATATACCACACCGCATATATGTGAACCCAGGCTCCAAGCCCTTCTGTATATGAATCCTTAACAAGACTTGGAAGTTAGATTAAATCCATTCCCAAGGGCCACCAACCGTACACACACAGGTTTTGTAATTAGTGTGTGCCTGTGCAGATATAAAAAAAAATACCTGCACTGTTAAACAGGTTTGGGAAACACTGTTCTAAAGTAAAATTTTTACTTTTGCCTCTGCGGGATTTGTATATGATTTTTGACACCAAAATCAGTTTGGCCTATCTTTTTTTCCTAGTTGTTTGGACATACTAAAGATCTCTTTAAAGCATCATGGTATTTAGTTAAAAGGCAACGAGTGATATGGAGAGTTCAGTGATTCATAGCAACCAATCAGAAAATATATTTTCCCATGTTCTTACACTTCACCTTTATGCACCTAGTGGTATTTTAATTTCATACTCTTGGGTGTTGGAAAATTTATTGGTATGTGCATGTTCATGGAACTCCTTTACAAGCTTTTTGTGAATCCACAACTAGTATTTCAGTGTTGGGTGAAATCACCCAACTTTTTTGTCATCTCTTGGTGATTCTGTTAGCGAGTTAGTGAGATCTCTGCACTTAAATACTTAGGCTCTGCAATCTGCGGTGGCTGAGCTTCCTTCTTGACCACTCCATATAGGTGCAAATGTTTCTGATTAAAATCTCCTAAGTGTAGCCAATGGATGGGGTTTGCCTGGAATCAGACGGTAGGAAGATGATATAGCAGACTGCTTTATATTGAGCAGAACATGTTAAAAGGTCTAATGCAGCTACTACAAATGGTCTTTACAGTTCAGGGAATGCAGTGAATTTAACATAGATTGACAGTAGGTGAATGATAGACCCTAGACCTGCCTTAGTTACATTTTACTCCTGGAGTCCCACAGATGTAAAATAACCCACTGAGTAATTCATCCAGCAGACAATCGTGTAAATCTAAAATCTAATTTTTTGCTACACTGACACTCTAAACTGCTTTTGGTTTACATTGAAATTAGATTTTTACCCAGTCTGTACTATTACAGTTTTCATATTAGCCCTTTAAATGAAATTCTGTGAACATACTGTAGTTGTTTTTTTGGGGGTTTTTTTAGGCTGAATGTCAACATTAGCATGATACTCAGCCTGCACTGTAACTGCAGTGTCGAACATCTCTATATATGTTGGGCACATAATATTCATGCAGCTAGAATCTCATAAAAATGACATTGTGAAATAATGCACTTTGTAAATCATATATTGCATTAGCAGTTTTAATTCTAAAATACTTTAAGAAGCTGTGTGCCCAGTCTAAAATATTCACAGATTTTGGAAGAATTGTGGGTACAAATGCTCTGAGCACTTGTATAGGGAGCAATCTATAGACACAGCTGTATTTTCAGTTCTACTGTACATGTGTAACTGTCTCCAAAGTATTTTGGAAGATTGTGTGTGAGTGGGTGCAAATCTTTTGTTGTAGAGATACTTAGGGGTCTGTTTATAATTTCTCACACTTTCTAATTTAATTCAGTTGGAGTTGTGTGTGTGAATCTTGAATGGAAATTTGTATAAATTAATTTATAAATGGGTCCCTTAGTTTCTTTCCATTTCACTTTAACCAGTTTGTTTTCTTTGACTTGCAGGTGAAACTCAAAAAATTTAGAATATCGTGCCAAAGTTAATTTATTTCAGTAATGCAACTTAAAAGGTGAAACTAATATATAGATAGACTTATTACATGCAAAGCAAGATAGTTCAAGCTGTGATTTGTCATAATTGTGATGATTATGGCTTACAGCTCATGAAAAGCCCAAATCCACAATTTTAGAAAATGAGAATATTGTGAAAGGTGCAGTATTCTAGGCTCAAAAAGTCCCACTCTAATCAGCTAATTAAGCCATAACACTTACAAAGGGTTCCTGAGCCTTTAAATGGTCTCTCAGTTTGGTTCAGTAGGAATCACAATCACGGGAAAGACTGCTGACCTGACAGTTGTGCAGAAAACCATCATTGACACCCTCTATAGGGAGGGAAAGCCTCAAAAGGTAATTGCAAAAGAAGTTGGATGTTCTCAAAGTGCTGTATCAACGCACATTAATAGAAAGTTATGTGGAAGGGAAAAGTGTGGAAGAAAAAGGTGCACAAGCAGCAGGGATGACCACAGCCTGGAGAGGATTGTCAGGAAAAGGCCATTCAAAAGTGTTGGGGACTTTCACAAGGAGTGGACTGAGACTGGAGTCAGTGCATCAAGAGCCAGCACACACAGACGTATCCTGGACATGGGCTTCAAATGTCATATTCCTCCTGAACAACAAACAATGTCAGAAGTGTCTTACCTGGGCTAAAGAAAAACAGACCTGGTCTGTTGCTCCATGGTCCAGAGTCCTCTTTTCTGATGAGAGCAACTTTTGCATCTCATTTGGAAACCAAGGACCCAGAGTATGGAGGAAGAATGGAGAGGCACACACTGCAAGATGCTTGAAGTCCAGTGTGAAGTTTCCACAGTCTGTGTTGATTTGGGGAGCCATGTCATTTGCTGGTGTTGGTCCACTGTGCTTCATTAAATCCAGGTCAACGCAGCCGTCTACCAGGAGATTTTGGAGCACTTCATGCTTCCTTCCGCAGACAAGTTTTATGGGGATGCTGACTTAATTTTCCAGCAGGACTTGGCACCTGCGCACACTGCCAAAAGCACCAAAACCAGGTTCAATGACCATGGGATTACTGTGCTTGATTGGCCAGCAAACTCGCCTGACCTGAACCCCATAGAGAATCTATGGGGCATTGCCAAGAGAAAGATGAGAGACATGAGACCGAACAATGCAGAAGAGCTAAAGGCCGCTATTGAAGCATCCTGGTCTTCCATATAACACCTTAGCAGTGCCACAGGCTGATAGCTTCCATGCCATGCCGCATTGAGGCAGTAATTTCTGCAAAAGGGGCCCAAACCAAGTACTGAGTACATATGCATGCTTATACTTTTTAGAGCTCCGATATTGTTCTATGTACAATCCTTGTTTTATTGATTGCATGTAATATTCTAATTTTCTGAGATTGTGGATTTTGGGTTTTCATGAGCTGTAAGCCATAATCATCACAATTATGACAAATAACAGCTTGAACCATCTTGCTTTGCATGTAATGAGTCTATCTCATATATTAGTTTCACCTTTTAAGTTGCATTACTGAAATAAATGAACTTTTGCACGATATTCTAATTTTTCGAGTTTCACTTGTAAATGAGATGTTAATATGTCAGGTTCTGCACTTTATATTGTTGATCTTGGGTACAGCACAAAACTGCTACATCCCTGGTGTATCTAGGGAATAGGGGTGTCAAATTGGTGGCCCTCTAGCTCTTGTCATACTTGTAACTATCAGCCTTGCAATGCCTCATGGGACTTATAGTTCCGCAACTGCTGGAGGGCTGCCAATTTGACAACCCTGCAAAGCTGTGCTGCGTCCAAGGGCAAAGATATATAGTATGTCTAAAAGTTTTGCATAAACAACCCCACATGATTATGGCTGCCACTTTTCAACACTGTGTTAATATTAGGGCAATATTCCATTACATTCCTACTAGGTTTAAATGTAAAATAACACATTTTTCCCCAGGAGAGAGAACGAAGGTCTCCAGCCTTTAACCTTCATATAGCCAGCTTCCCAGAAAATAATGGAAGCGCCCTGCAGCTATTCTGTCAGCAGGAAGGAATTAAGGTAGATCCGGATTCACTTCCCTCTTCTAGTGCATCCCATGTCTTTCACTGCCATTAACTCACTATTAAAACCAACATTGTGACAGAAGCATCCGTTAAACCTGTTACTACTGGTTTCCCCAATAATGTGCTGTCATGCATGGTTCTCCTCTCCTGTGTAAGGCCTATGTGTCTTGTGTAAGCCTGTAATGCAAGCTAACGTGTTTTTAGGGACTACTATGAGCGGCAGATGATGTGATACTAAACTACATTTATGGCTTTCACATACAAGAGGCAGCCATTGTCTGTCAAACCATCTCATGCTAATGTGGCTTATCAGTTCTTTATTGGGCCAAATGTATAAAACGTCTGCAAAGGCAAGTGAGAGCCATACTGAATAAGGTTTGTTTTATTTTTATTTAGTGTAGGTTTAATAAATTACTTTTAACACCTGACTGGTATCTATTGGCATCACTTTTCAGCTTGAATTGATATACCGTGTTAGCTGAGACCACAATATGGCTGCCTCTGGCTTGTGCATGTAGACAGGGCTACAGTGTTAGTAACTGTGGTGTTCTAAACAGCATTTCAACACAACCAACTGCTGCAAAAATATATTTCCATCGTATTAGTATTCTACATACTAATCATTACTGTATATATCACATATATTATTACTGTGTTCATTTATATATGAATATATAATATATATGTATAATTAATATATTTCAAGTAAGAGAATAAATTACCCAAAATGACACTTTAAAAATCTAGTTTGTCTCAGGTACCTGATAGTTTGTTCTCTTAATATAATCAGTTAGAACCCTGATGGTGCTGAACAAGCCCCAGTACTACAATGTGGGAACCTAACCGTACCAGTATGTACTTGGGAGGCCTGCTGTAGGTTCCTGAGTGGCCCAAATTCTTAAAAGAACAATAACATACAAATTTCAAAATTCCCTTGCTTTCCTCAGATTTCCCTTGGACCATCCCTATGACAAGCAGCCATATTGCCCTCCTGAAACATATAGCAGAAGGGAGGCAATAGGTGAGCTCTTGAAATGATCGAGTGTCAAAGTTTGCATTGTACAGGTTTGGAGATTTAGTGCACCCTATAGATAGAGGTTGGATAGAACCTTTGTTTAGTTCTGCAGGCTGTTCAGTACCATTTGGGTTTGACTGATATAATCTGGCAAAAATACAGATATTCAAATAATAAAGGTTATACTTCTATTAATTACTAATCGGAGACTGACTTCTAAAACAAGAAAGTTCAGATGGTGCTTTGTGCCTTGGTCTCCACCTAGTTAGATTTGGCTGAAATCCATGTGAGAAAGTAGGATACCAACCTTACAAAGAAGTAACTGCTAGATTGGAAAAGTATCACCCTTACTTTTAATAGCTCTATAGAGGTAAAGGATTCCATTTGTTTTCTGTGCCCATACTGCCATAAGTTAATTGGTTTTGATTTGTTCACCTTTCCTAGAACAGTATTACTGTATATCCATTTTATTTTCAATCAGGTATTTGTAATTTAAAGAACCTCTGTAGACTATTGTATTAATAGACTACTACTGAAAAAATATCGCATTCTGATAACTGTTTATCTCACATGATATTTCTTTTTCTACACATTTCTATGCTAAGCTAACCAGCAAAAATGACAGAGGTTGGGGGCAAATTATTACACAGCCAGGGGTGCTTACTCATTCAGATAGCATACAGTCTATCAAATTAATAATTCCACTTTTTTTTTTTTTTTCAATCCTCTGCCCTGCATGATACAAAATGATCAAAACAGCTTTTGCTGCAATGCTCCTTCCCACTGCTGTCCCCTGAAGACTCACCGCTCCGCAATCCAGCAACAGCTCACTTCTGGGTTGAAAGGCGCTGGGCCAAGGGCATCAAAGACCTATACAGGAGAACACTGCACAAAGTGTGTAAGAAACATTCTCTTTAGCATTCAGGACCCACTCAGTGCTGAAAGTGGACCTGTGATGCCCCTACCTGGACTGAAAACCCCATGATGAAAGTGTACATACAGCAATTCAGAAAAAAAAACTAGGGGCTCCAGAGGAAAGTGGACTGTGGTTAAGGGGATGGGGCTTTGGAGGAATTGGGCTTTGCATCCTCTTAAAAAAAAAAAAAAACTTACTGGAACTTCTGCACCCCTCCATTACTATAGCCTGCCCCAAACCTTGTCCTTGTCACTTTTGATGGACACCTTGGTCTGTAAATGTGGAAAAAAAACAAACATAAAGGGACATAGAATAAAAAAAGAATTTGTTTATCGAATACACTTATTACATTATGTATAGTTATTAGCAGGGGCGGACTGACCATTTGGAAACTCTGGCACTGCCCGAGGGCCCAGGGTCAGTAGGGGGCCCCATGAGATGCCCCTGGTACCTTTTTCATAGGCTTTTTTGAGTTTGGGCAAGGACACGGGCCCCATTATCCCTCTATTGCCCAGGGGCCCCATGAGTTGTCAGTCCACCCCTGGTTATTCGTATACAATAACTTTCACAATAGAAGTCCCGTTAATGTGTTAATCCAAGTCTGACAGCTGAAAAGGGTAGATATATAAACTATGTATTTTATGTATGTTATTGCACAATAAACTTTAGCAGAAAGCACTTTCCTAGTCAGTGTGTGGCATGGTGTTCCATGTTGTAGCATGCCATGTGTTTGCATAGATCTACCTGTATTAATGCTTGAATAGTGATTCAAGCTCTTGAGTGATGGGAGACCTGCAGCCATGATTGCTCTACAATCTGTTGCAGGCCTCATTGGGACATAAAGAGCCTTCAGAATGTAGCTACATGGTATGTATCTGTCAAGACCATCTCCATCTTCCAGTTTCATTCTTGTGCTTCCATGTTTTGTAAGCTCTATGTACTGTATATCTGGATTCGGGGCCTGGGTCTGCCCCTGTCCTATCTCTTCATTATGTGGCTTCGCTCTCTTCCAGGATGTGGACATTTCAGAGCTCATGAAGAAGCTGGATATACTTGGCGACAATGGGGTAACTGAACACTTCTAACAACTAATGCTTTTCAAGACCTATTCTATTTGTCTATAATCATTGCATATTGCAAACTGGCAATACATTACATAGTGGGGTAGATTTACTAAAACTGGTTCACTCAGAACCTGGTGCTGCAGTGCATGGTAGCCAATCAGCTTCTAACCTCAGCTTGTTCAATTAAGCTTTGGCAATAAAACTTGGAAGCTGATTGGTTTCTATGCAAACATGCATCTGATTTTGCACTCTCTGGCTTTAGTAAATAAACCCCAGCACTCAGACCCAGTCATGTCAGTCTCTTCTCTAGTGACCTTACTGGTTCGCGTCCCTTCCACAGTCAAACAACATTTGCATTCATGAACTAATTTGGATGAACACGAATTCTGCAAAATCCTCATAAACATAGCTAGAACTTTGGACAGTGTCCTGTAAATGTAACACTGGAGAACTATTTGCTATTGATAGTCCACTTGGCCTAAAATATTTTACAAGTTGCCTACAGTGAGCATGTGAGGTGGGTAAAAATGTCAGCCAAAATCTCCAGTAAAAGAAGAGTCTTAATACCTAGCTAATCCTACTCCAGTTCATAGACTCTTCCCTCTGCTGCAAAGGGAAATTGGCAAATGTAAATATCATAGCTGTGCAACAGAAGGAAAAGTCCATAAACGGGAACAAAACCAAGCAAGTATAAAATGTCTTCCTTTACTGGAGATTTTTGGCTGACATTACTACCTCCTTCCCCAAAGAGGTTACTTTAATAGCTTCAAACAAGCCAACACTTTTACATGTAGATGTCACTGTGGAACAATTTTCAATTCTCACAAAGGAAGCAGGGAAGTCATCACACTCTCACACTTCAAATTGTACACCTGCTCTTTTACTTTAGAGATAAACAGACTGATGAGTTACTGCTGGAAGGTGACGCAAAAGGAGCTGAACTGAAAGAAAAAAGTGCTTCTGCTGTGAAATGTGAGAAATTGTTTCACAGTGACTGCAGCTACAGAGATCAGTGAGGCCTTGTTTTAATGCTTATTTAAATGTACGTAGTCTGACCAAAGTTCTACCAGGGTTTAAGATGCATAAAAGGATCATAGTGTGCTTGTGACATGCTTCAATATTCATCCAAGTGTTACCTATAGATCATGAATAAGATTCACTTCTTTTTTCTAATGCCAAAAATTGTCTTTTTTAGATCATTAAGGAGTGAGTATAGGAGTAGTAAGGTTTAGGACCTATTCAAATTGATCCATTGTGGTAATGCACCATACATGTGTCAGACTTTTGTGGTGGCATTCATTTTCAATGGCACCCTTGTGCACTGATAAAACACATACCCCAAAGCCCAGTAATGCACTATTGTATTTTTAAAAATGTGTTGTTTTTTTTAAATTTAACTGAATAGACTGCTTTGTATAAATCTGACCTTTACACCCGATGTTTTTCCATCTGTGTCCAATTTGAAAAAAAAATCCCTTAATTTCCTGTTCTGTAAGCACAACAGAAAGTGAGAAGAAATCTTTCCAAAGTTAGAGGAAATTCCTCTTAGACAGTTAGTCACTGGAACAAGTGTCCCCATTGGAATATTTTTTCCTTATTTCTGTTCTGGTGTCAACTCAGAGCTTTGATTTCTTCATTACTTTCAGTCCTGGCAAAATTTGTCAAAAGGACAAATATGTAGGATGAATCTCTCTGTTGGAAACACAAACCCAAGAGTTTATACTATGGTTACACTTTCATTGGACTTAAGTGCGGTATGAGGCTGTGAGGACCTGAGCAACAGTTCAGCCCTTAAAAATGGTTTGAAGGGTATTTGTCGCAAAATAAAACACCTACAATGGAAGTTTCCATTGTCTGATAAGACCTGTTACACCATTTTCGTTTCAGCGAAGTGAAGCTTTAATCTTAAACTGTTCATATGGCTGTTGTGCTCTGTGACAGAACATCTTTAATAAAAAGATACTCCTAAGAGAATAGAATGGGGTCAGTGATATTTAAGTTAAATTCATTTGTGACTTCGCATTAGATGGCCGAGCATTAGAGCGGGACAGCTCTCGAAGGCACAGAAGTGTGAAAAGATGTGATAGAAAATGATTGAGTTTAATAACGTGCTTATAGCCTCTCATCTCTGGCAACATGGATAATTTGACCACAGATTGAAGGTCATCTTTAATAGCAGTAAATTCACATTGTGCCAATTACACTGTTTCTGGAAAAACTGGCACATAGATTTATGACCTGTAGCCTTCTTTGGGGGCAGTTATGAGAAATGGCCCTCTCCAAATAAGGATATTGTGCTAAATCTATAGTTATATAGGGGAGCTAGAACCTTCGCTAGGTGGAATAGTGGGTTTGATAATAGAGTTGGCAGCGCCTCCACCCAGGACAGGTTCAGGGTGAACAGAGGGGATTTCCTTCCTGGGAAATTATTTAATAATCTAAACAAAGTAATTTGGAGCTGAAGAACTACTGCAACCAGCATATAACATTCACCATGATTTTATGGATACACACCAGTATAGAAATAATACATGCTTTATATAAGAAGAGATTAATAACAATACATACATCCAATGTACAAACAAGTACCCTCTTCTCCTCTGTGACAAATGTCCTAGTGTATAACGTTCATGATTTTTATACTGGGAAACTATTCTAAATTTAACCCCAGACCTATGCAGTCTTAGGGCCCATTTGCAATATCACATTGCAGTAACATGCAAGTGACCATAATGTATGTTACATGCATCAGTGCAACGCACCATGCCACTGGACATGTATTGCAGTGCTACGCACAAAGGTGTGGTTTACTGCCAAAAATGGTGCATGTCTTAACACAATGCACATTTTTACATATTAACACTTGTGATGGGCTTTTCAAGTAGAATTATGAGCAAAATCAAAAAATATAAATACTGTATTGTGCAGTTTGTCATTAGAATTAACACATCAGTTCTTCTGTTATATCATTTATCCATGTCATGATATATCTAGTAATAGTGTTTTCCTTACACTCATTAGAACTGGCATTGACCTGCCATGAAACATCTTCATCGTTGCAAAACAAGCCCACTTAATTGTGACTACTACTAGATATACAATATCTTCTTATTACAGTATCCCTACTGTTGCATTATTTTATTAGCTGTTTATTCTGCCATTGATTGTCCACTTTATACTTTAAATAGACCCTATCACATTAGAAAAAAAGTAGTACATACCTGTAAAAAAAAAAAACTTATTCTGCCCTGTTGCCAAGAAAAGGTTCTCTGAAGTGTTTTGGGAAACTGACTTCTGTTTAGTGTGGGGGCCTTACTTTAGTTCACCTTCTGAAGCATTTAATGGTTCCTCTGGCTGACCTTCACGTTATTATGAGGCTTAGCAGTGATATAGAGGTCTGGAGTGGGGACCAGTAGAGTTGCAGGGTTCATTACTCCAGAAAGAGTTGGTTTCCCATCAAATCCGGGTACCATTTTGGCAGTAAAAAAGGTAAATGTTCTCTTTTGTTTGTTTTTACACTTTATTCCAATTTCCTTTATTTGATCTTTCGTACTTATGAGAAAAGAAACTCAGAAAATTGCAAACAAATTGAAGTCCAGCTAACACTTTTCAAGCAATCCATAGGATTGTTTTTGCTTTTAGAAAACAAAAAAGTTTAACTCATATGGATAATAGCTGACCTTTCTAAACCTTTGTTCCAATCCCTTAAACTACTATGTTTGCTGGACAGTATGGTTTGCTAAAAGAAGTGGAAAAAACAGATCTACTGTAGGGTCAACCGTTAATAAAATGGGGATGGGGGGGGGGGGGGGGGGGACTGCTTTTTTTGTATACCATCAAGAGTTCCTAATTAAAGGGTTTTTTACATCCAGCAGAAATCGTAGGAAACCTATTCCATTTGGTAGGTGAATTTGTTTATAATTTTGTGAAAACTTGGTTTTCCATTTAGCAATTTCTCATAACTTACATAAGCATACAGTAGTTCAGTTTTAATAGTATAATTTGCAAAATTAAAATCACTTTGACTTTTGAAAAAAGGAAAATTATAAATTAGTAGGGGTGGAAATGATGAACTGGAGTTGATCAGCTTTCTCTCTTTATTTGTTTTACAGAATTTGCGGAACGAAGAACAGGTTGCAGTAATTCAAGCGGGTACTGTGTTATCTCTCTGTGAAAAGGTGTGTAAATATTCCGGTATTATTAGAGACAAATGAGACTGAAATGTGAAACAGAGGCAACACATAAACTCTAGACCTGGCAATAGCTAATTAGCTGTGTCTTCAGGGATATAGGTTGGAGCACTCGCTGTTCCAGAACAGAGAGGTTTTCTCCTGTATACCCTGCAGTGGCCACGCAACTGAAATCACAGTACCAACAACAGGAGATGCATGGGAGAGTTTCTCAGTACTAAGCACCAGCTGCGTAGCTTTCCAGCACAGCTCTGCAGTGTATCCTCTTCAGAAAGCAGGATCTCCATCTGCAGTAGAACTCACAACATAAATGTTTTGTTACTGGCCAGTATAGGAAAGGGTACAGCCTAACTTTGCACAAGGTCCATAGATTTGGGCCTACACCAATGTTAGCTCACATCTTGTTTATGGATGAACCATTTGGGCTAAAAGTTTAAAAAAATCAGAATCCATTCTTCTAAAATTATAAAGATACAAAGTCAGTGCTGGTGATAACACGGTTCCCCTAAAGCAAAAACGGACTTCTTAAGCTCAGACTTAAAACGTATTGGACCCATTCTTATATTCATTTCCAATGACATTTGCCATGCTAGAAGTTCTCCTAAGCTATATATTTATTACCCTTGAAATTTCTCTTAGGTCTTGGAGAACCCCTGCTACAAATAAATACACCTACAATTCACAGAACATTAATGTAATCACTAAATTCTAGAATGCTTTAAATATAAGAATAAATAATATGCTGTCCCTGACCTTATTAACACCCTAGGCAGAAATTTGTTTACACATTCCTGCTCTCTATAACATTTTGGTAATAACCTTCAAATTAAAGGAATAATAACTGAATAGAGATGTAGACAGTAAAAATTGTGGTGTCCCTGATATAATTGGTTAGTGCAGAAGTGCCCCCTTGTATTGGTAGTCAGTGAAGGTTAGAGATCAATTTGCCATTGCTTGCTGCTTAAAGAGGAGCTCCAGTCGATTTTCTGAAAATGAAAAGTCAGCAGCTACAAAAACTGTAGTTTCTGACTTTTAACCACTTGCCTACCAGGCACTTATACCCCCTTCCTTACCAGGCCAATTTTCAGCTTTCAGCGCTGCCGCACTTTGACAATTGCGCGGTCATGCAACATTGTACCCATATGAAATTTTGATCATTTTTTTCTCACAAATAGAGCTTTCTTTTGGTGGTATTTAATCACCACTGGGCGCTTTACTTTTTGCGCTATAAATAAAAAAAGTGCAAAAAATTTGAAAAGAAAAAAAAAGTTTATTTGTTTCTTTTATAAAATTTTTTAAACAGGTATTTTTTCTCCTTCACTGATGTGCGTTGATGAGGCAGCACTGATGGGCACTGATAGGCATCACTAAAGGGCACTGATAGGCAGTACTAATGAGGTGGCACGGATAGGCGGCACTGATAGACAGCACTAATTAGGGGTCACGGATAGGCGGCACTGATAGGTGACACTGATTATGGGTACTGATAGACGGCACTGACTGGCACAACCCCTGGGCACTGACTGGTGGCACTGACTGGCAGCACTAAAGGGCTGCACTGGTGGGTGGCACTGGTGGGCAGCACTGGTGGGTGGCACTGGTGGGCACAGGTGGGTGGCACAGGTGGGTGGGCACAGGTGGGTGGCACTGCTGGGCACATGTAGGCGGCACTTCTGGGCACAGGTAGGTGGCACTGCAGAGTGGCACAGGTGGGTGCACTGCTGGGCACAGGTGGGGGCACTGCTGGGCACAGGTGGGTGCACTTCTGGGCACGGGTGGGCGGAGCTAGTGGGCGCACTGCTGGGCGGAACTTGCGGGTGTCACTGCTGGGCACCGATCATCAGGGCACTGATCATCAGTGCCCTGATGATCGGTGCCGATCCCCGCTCTGACAACTGCCGGTTCTCGGCAGTACTTTCCTCATGATCTGACAGCGTGAGGAAAGTGCAGCCGAGAACCGGCACTTGCATTTCCCTGTGATCAGCGTGTCATTGGACACCGCTGATCACGTGGTAAAAGGCCGCTGTGATTGGCCTTTTACCACATCACGTGATCAGCTGTGTCCGTAGGACACAGCGATCACGGAGATCACCGGGTGCGCGCCCCCTGGGGCGCGCAGGAGAGCGCGTTCTGGGAGGACGTCATATGACGTCCACCCAGAACTGGCCGGCCGCGGTGAAGCCGTCAGTCGGCTGTACCAGGATCCAGCAATGTGCTCAACTGAGGGGGTGCCAGGGACCATGTTCAATCCTTGGTGCTGGCATCTTAACTGTTGGCACCCGGCTGTGACAGCTTGTGGCTTCAGAGCTGGGTGCCCACTGTGCAAATGCAAGCCGTGCTACGCATTGTGAATTGTCACACAGTCTTCTGGGATCTGTCACATGTCCCAGAAGACTGCAGGGAGGAAGTGGGGAGGAGATCTTCTTAGGTAGTCGGAGCAGAAGTGGGAGCAGGTATCTGTCAAAATGAGGTACCCGCACCCCAAAATGCCAATTACTTACCGGAAGGGGGGGGGGGGGTGAGGCCTTAAAGCTGAACTTCATCTTTTCGGTGGTGCTGCGCTTCAAGGAACCCCTAGCATCCTCAGGAGGATCCCTACAGCTAGCCATAGATGGATCATAATTCAGGGACCAGCCGAATTTCAATCAATGTATGGCCATCCCTGTTCAACAGAAGTTGAACAGAAATGTTGGAAAACTTCTCTGGATGCAGCCACTGATCAGTGCATTCTGACAGCGGAGGGGTCCTGATGTCAGAATACAATGTCCTAGTGGGGGATATTCCTCTAGCTACCTTGCTTGTGAGTCCTCTATGGCCATCCTAAGAGTTCCACAGAACCCTAGTTGAGAGATGCTGCTTTAGATTGAGTATCTCACAGGTCATTTTAATTTGCCAAATGGTGTTAGAATAATGATTCAGTCAGCTAACTGAATTCAGTGTGTTACAAGTGAGGGAATGTTTTTTTCAGGTGAGTGAAATCAATGTGGTGCAGGTGAAGCAATTACCAAGAAGAGATCATATTTATGCTACTAATGGGTCTACAAATGTTTGTTTGGTTTAGGTCTTTGGAAGCCCAAAAACTATTTTCAGACCCAGACACAAAATAACTGTGTGTAAAAATAGCCATGGTTTTACTATTGAGGGTCCCTTGGGCACCCCAACATTAATGAAAAGTAGCGAAGTTCCCCAGGGAGCAGTGCTAATGTCATGGTTAGGGTTCAGGCTTGGAGACCAGTAGCTACATAGCTGTAGCAATAGAGAGGTCAACAGGAAGAGTACATGGGCAGGTCACCCTGGTAGATGGTGCAGACTCACCTGAGGTGTGAAGACTAAGCACTAATCAGTATTCACCAGAGCTCCTGATGGTGGAGATGGATTTTGCTGTGTGTTAGTACCAAGTTGCTGTTCTCAGGATTCGCCCATCAAGAGATGAGTAAGCCTGGGTCCAGTAGCAGATAGGGATCAAACAGAAGTGTAGTCAGTTAACAAGCCAAAGGTTGGTAACAAGTGGTTGTAGGTCGGGATCAAGCAGAAGTGTAGTTGAGGAACAAACCAAAGGTCGGTAACAAGTGGTAGTGAAGATATGGATGGCAGCAGGAGAGACGAGAGCGAGATATTGGCTGGGGAAAGCACAATAATCTGGCAAACAGTGCAAAGGCAAGGCTTTAATAGGAAGTCCATGGGAGGAGCAAGGGGTTCAAGGTTCAAGATAAACAAGACACAAGGCAAGGTTGTCTTAGGAGATCAGGCAGGGAGTTGTCCAGCATCTCAGGTGGCTCAGCAAGAAGAGACATTGCCAGACACAGCAAAGGTCGCAGGCTCTGACCTGAGTCCTGACAGGTTATATTTTCTTCAATAGTCTGTATCTCTACCCATTTTCCTACCTTTACTCTTTCAACCTTTTTTCTGTTCTTCAGTTTCCTTGTTAATCTTACTACTTTGAATATAGCTCTCCTCTATGTAGAGAGACAGTCTATCTGCCTGCTGCTTGGCCTATAATGCCAGACAGGAACCTTCTAACGCATGTCTACCCAACACTAGAGACTGAACAGAACACAAGGATGTCTGTGTGTGTATATAATACAAAATTACACTTTTAACCCTCTCTAAACAGAAGCAGTCAAACATTTAACACTCTCTAGGACAGTGGTCTCCAAACTGCAGCCCAGGAGTCAGATGCGGCCCTTTGCTTGCCTCTTTTGGGCCCTTGGGACACTATTCCTCAAACTGGCCACCCAGAACTGGCCGGCCGCGGTGAAGCCGTCAGTCGGCTGTACCAGGATCCAGCAATGTGCTCAACTGAGGGGGTGCCAGGGACCATGTTCAATCCTTGGTGCTGGCATCTTAACTGTTGGCACCCGGCTGTGACAGCTTGTGGCTTCAGAGCTGGGTGCCCACTGTGCAAATGCAAGCCGTGCTACGCATTGTGAATTGTCACACAGTCTTCTGGGATCTGTCACATGTCCCAGAAGACTGCAGGGAGGAAGTGGGGAGGAGATCTTCTTAGGTAGTCGGAGCAGAAGTGGGAGCAGGTATCTGTCAAAATGAGGTACCCGCACCCCAAAATGCCAATTACTTACCGGAAGGGGGGGGTTGAGGCCTTAAAGCTGAACTTCATCTTTTCGGTGGTGCTGCGCTTCAAGGAACCCCTAGCATCCTCAGGAGGATCCCTACAGCTAGCCATAGATGGATCATAATTCAGGGACCAGCCGAATTTCAATCAATGTATGGCCATCCCTGTTCAACAGAAGTTGAACAGAAATGTTGGAAAACTTCTCTGGATGCAGCCACTGATCAGTGCATTCTGACAGCGGAGGGGTCCTGATGTCAGAATACAATGTCCTAGTGGGGGATATTCCTCTAGCTACCTTGCTTGTGAGTCCTCTATGGCCATCCTAAGAGTTCCACAGAACCCTAGTTGAGAGATGCTGCTTTAGATTGAGTATCTCACAGGTCATTTTAATTTGCCAAATGGTGTTAGAATAATG